GAAATATTTCAAGTGGAACACAGACAACAAAAAATAAAAACAATACAAAAAACAATAATTGGGGTTTTAACAGCTCCATACTTAATCTAAAACATAAAAAAGTTTTGGGCATACACTTTAAAGATGAATTCCAGGCATGGCAATTTTTACATTGATGCAACTTGAACCAATGTAGACATGTATGTGCAATACCTGTGGGATTCTGTGGAAGTTGGAAATCATTGTAGTTAGCAACACTATTACAGTGAGCTCCACTAGCTTCTGGGTTCCATGCTGAGGGGCTGCCCTGGTTTTAATTGAACCCAGTAGGTTGCTTACTGGGCACGGGCACCATTCAGAAAATGCTTTGCATTTTCTCTTGATGTCACCACCCTTTCCATTCTGTCCAGTCAGAGAATTTCTTTGCATTCATTTTGAAAATGCAAAGTGTTCCTTGACTAACACCCATGCCAAGCAAGCCACCCCTATATTCACAATGTAGCAGGGTAGCCGCCTGGCATGATCCCACAGGCTTGGCACATACTGTACATATTTGTACAAGTCCAAGCTGAAGCAATGTAACTGTGTAAACATTGCCATACCTAAACTTCAACTTTTAAAATGTATATAGTGAGCATACTTCAGTTGGTAACACCAACTGTTCTCACAAAAGTGTCAGAACCCAAACAATGCATGTGATGCTAATCTATGGATATTCCTCATAAACTGAATTTTTAACCTTTTTTATCTTAATATTTACAGGACGATGCATGGATCCTGCTTCAGAGAAAGGTAAGGAATCTATGAAGTTATGTGTACGCTAAATACTTTAGATAATTCGGGTGGCTGAACTAGTATGGTCAACGGAGGCCATTCCCAGGCACTTTAGTTTTGGTTGGGTCTGAGGACCTTGGCTCACTGGACAATTTTCCTTTGCTTTTAGAGTTGTCTTTCTGATATAAAGGTAACTTTAATGTTTTGAAATGGCAATTATAATGTCTATAGATGAGCAGAGGCTCTCCTCTGGCATGGGAATAATATTCAAGGGAGCCTATATTAGCTACTACAAATTTGAGAGGCAGCATGGCCTCAATAATGCCTACAGCCAGTCAAAAAGCTATATAGTTTTGGATACAGTGGTGAAGTGTCACAAACTGTATCATTTTTTATTGCCATCCATGCCCCAATTTGCAAGATTTTGTTCTATATTCTACCTAAGAGGGTAAATCTCCTAACTAGAAACAAACAATAACCTGACAGAGTTACTAAACCTTCCCCACTTTAAGCACACAAAAAATAAATAGTTGTGGGTTAAGTTGGGTATTCGGGACAAAGTGACAGGTTCTCCTAATAAAACATTTTCTGCTCTCCTGCTAACACTCACTGCACTCACCACACTCTCTCTCTGTGCTCTTTTCTACTGTCAGAGTGCTTGGAGATATGTGGCAGCATCTGACCTCCCAGGATGTGGTTCTCAGGCATGAGCATCCATTAGCAAGGCCTGAACACTGTCACCTAGGGAAGAGGAAAAGGTCATTAATTTTGTGTACGCTCATTCACAGACCAGTATGGAGCTTACACTTCAGTTAGACTGTTGCAGAATAATAGTCAGGGGGGTCAGCACAGGGAAAAAATTAATGAAGGAGTGGCCTATTAAGAGAACCTGTCTTTTTTGTGAGTGGAAAAGTCACTTTAAATAAGATTTCTCACTTCCATCTTTATTTTCCATTTTTATTAAAGTGTTCGATTCTCCAGGAGGCAAATTGCATGTCCCATCTATGCTGTCTTAGGCTAGCTGTGAGGTTGGACAGAACACCCCTCCTTCATACACGGGCTGTCCAGCAACACAGCTAGCAAGGAGACAGCTGCTTTGACAGAGGATACTTTTCTTCATCTCCAAGCACTTGCCTGAGACTAGCACATCACAAAAAATGCATGGGAAGCTTGTCTTGTAAGCTATAATGTTCCAGGTAAGTGCTTGAAGATGAAGAAAAATACCACTTTGTTAATACAGCTCACATTAAACCACACATAAGAAGATAGGACAAACTACTACATTCACTTTGTCCCCTAGTGAAGCGAACACAGTAATACAAATGGAAGTGATACTTCTTTAAACGTTCCAGATCTAATAGTTGTGCCATTTGTACCAGTGGTAGGTAAACTACCATTTTGCTTGTGGTGTCTTCTAATTATATATTTCTATGGTACCCCCCTCCCCAATAGTATGTTTATGTTCCATTGAATTTTGTTCAGAATTGTGCACCAAAACCATATACTGTAAATATGTTTTGTTTTACATTTAGCTGTATGGAAGAAAAACCGTCAATCTGAATACATATCTAAATGTTCTCAGCCAAGTACCAACTCCTGCATTGTTAACTGTGTCCATTTTTAGCTACTTACTTCTCCCTTTCATACATTTTAGCTCCTCGCTGAAGTTAATTGATGTTTCCATGGGGTTTATATCAATCACCAAATATTAGTATATGAAGAAAAACAATAAAAAAGTCCTTTACAGCATTTTTGCAATGCAAAATTATTTGCAAATGGTTCTGATTTTGTTATGCTAGTAGTTTTATCTTTGTTCCTTGCGCATTCATATTCACAATAGTACTTAAATTAAAGGTGAAGTCTAGCCTGGGGATCACAGGAATGCTGTTCATTCTGCACTCCTGTGACCCATTTTCAGCCAACAACGGGCTAAGCACACTGTCAGTTGACCTCGCAGAGCTGATCTAGGCTCTGAAAAGATCCTGCCCATATGGTGGAGATCCACCCAGAAGCCTGGAATGGCACCTGGCTCAGCCTTTCACCAATCTGTTGAGAACCTGAGCCAACCCTCCCACCCTCTCCACAACCCAGCGCTCCAGTGAGCACTAGAGGGACAGAGCAGAAAGCCGGTGACTGACAGCCACCAGCTTTCTGCTCATGGAACACTGAGAACTGAGCGATCAGCGGAGTTTGAACGCTTAGTCCTCACTTTTAGAGCTGGCGGGGAAAAGATGCACCATTAGATCAATGCCTCATCCACCTAGGTGAGTATAATTTTTTTTTTTTAGTTAATCCATACTTCTCTTTTAAGGTATTTTAACTTTTATGTAAATACTAGGCTGCCATGTTTTTAAAAAACAAAGGTGGCACCAAAATGTTGATTCTTGGTGGACACCATCTCTTTGTATACGTATCAGTAGAACAAAACTCCCCTTTTAAATGCCAGACCAGGCATATGTGCCAGCTGGAAATCACACAGAAATGATAACATAATCTATTTTTATTCCATAAAGATCAAAACCATAAGGTACAAAACACCATTAAAAAGAATGAATTCATATATACAATTCAGGCACCATTTTGGAATCAAACATGCTTTTGTTGTTGACACGGATGTAGTTTCCATGAAAGTAGTTTAATATTGAAGAAGTGAACATAGGACAGGAGAGCATTTATATAAGATATGGGGATACATCAATATATTTGGAGCCTTTTAGATTTAGCTCTGTTGGTGCCCCATTGAGTTGATGACCACTCATTATATTCATTCATTATATGTCATCAGTGAATATTCATTTCTATACACAATGTTTTTAGAAATGAGATCTACAATTGGTACTGGAAGAATGTTTAATTCACGATATAGAATCTACAATTAAGGCTTGGATCCTGAAGAAGTGAAACCTTCGCGAAACTCATTGGTCTTGTACGCCTAATCACTGCAAGACAAATTGTGTACGTGAATAAATTGTTTTTAATGGTGTTTTGTACATTATGGTTCTTATCTTTATGGAATAAATCATTTCTGTGTGTTTTCTTGGTGGCACACATAAAGTCCCATCAATGGTCTTCCTACCTGTTCTGGCATTTAAAAGGGGGGGTTTGTTCTATTTTCTTTGCAATCACTGGACAGGAAGTCAATGCTAGCCAAAATGTTTTTTTGCATGAATATAGTTGGGCAGGATTATAGTCTCTTCTGTGTTTTATACCTATCTCTGTTCCTAGTGGACAATTTCTCCAACAGGGATGCAGTCATAAAAATAGTAGAATGAAGATAGGTTTGATTTCTTGACAACCAGGGGAATTCCTAAAAAGTATCCACAACACTCTTTAGAATTCCATTGTGGCAAAAAATGTAAAGGCATGTTGGAATTTTGTAGTGTCAACAAACGATTTTCAATGCGTGAGTAATGCAATCGATTGGGAATAACACAAAAAATCTTATTGCACTTGTTAAGTTGATAAAAAAACATACCTTTTATGATGTAAACAGATGACAATATGTCACCAAGTGGGGAAAACATCTTCAACGATGGCGTAATTGCCTGCTCTTTCAACAGATCGTAATCAAGTGCGAACACATTTTCGAGTGATTTTCTACCCATGCTTTAGAGAGATATCCTTTTTGCCCACCTGGAATATAAGTGGTCTAGTATTTCAATGGATTAACTATTGATTGTAGCCAAAAATACTTGACTGCTGGGAGGTGAAGGCATGCTGCGGCTGCTGCTGCTTGACATAGCTTACTTTTAGCTGGCCATAGATGGGTAGAATTTTGAACAAAAATTCTTAGGAAATGAAGGTTCTAAGAAAGTTTTTTCATTTTGCTGATCATTAGTGGGTCAAAGCAATGTTCGTTTGTGACCAAAATGATGGGAAAATTTGAAGGAGCAGGATGGAAAATTCTTCTCGAATACATTTCTAACAGTGTTTGTGGTTTTCGTTCAGTAAAGTTCATTCATTTCAAAATGAAATGTTAAAAGCAAACGCTTTCAAATGACAAACAAATGTTCTGAGAATTTTCATGCATATCATAAGAATTTTAGTTAGAAATTCTATCCATCTATGGCCAGCTTTTGCTTAACCAAAGTTAAAATTCTCTTTTAAACATGAGTTTGTTTTTGCTTGGTTTTGCATTTTGAAACCTCGTCTATGTAGATCCAAAAACTAATCCCTGTGTCTTTTTCATAGGAACATGTACTGACAATTTCCTGGGATATTGTGATGACTTGCCCTACAGCAAAACCATGTACCCAAATTCATTAGACCATCGATCAAGAGGGGATACGGAATTCAGTGCTGAGTACATCCTGCTGAGTGTCATTGACACTTTGCTACAAGGAGAATGCAATCCTGACTTGAGGCTTCTGGGATGTGCTGTCCTGGCTCCACGATGTGAGAAGAATAAGATTGTAAAACCATGCAGGAATGTCTGTGAGACTTTAAAGAAGAATTGCCTTCCTGCCTTTGATGCTATTGACATGGCATGGCCTTACTTTCTGGACTGCGATCGTTTCTTTGCGAGTGAAGAGGAAGGATGTCATGATCCACTGGAAAAATTAAGAGGTACTCTATCTATGTATCTATCTATGCAAAATACGGGCTTCTTCTTTTCGTCTCATGTTGTAAGTGTGTTGAAGAAGGCCCCATTCAGGCAACATCAACAGTCAAGAGTGTTTAAAGTTGAACTAGATCCTCCAAAACAATAAAATATATTCCACCACTTGTAGGAACATCCGTACTTATAGTTTTCTCTTCACCCCCCCCCCCCCCCTGCAAAGTCTCCCAAATAGTTGTTGCTCCTGCCAGTGAACTCTATCTCATGGAGATGATGCTGCAGGGAGCATGGCTTTCAGAGGAGGAGTGGAAAGGGGACCTGTGATGTCACTTGCCTAGAATGAAGACACCTGGAAATAGGTACAGTGGGGATCGAAAGTTTGGGCACCCCAGCTAAAAATTTGTATTAATGTGCATAAAGAAGCCAAGGGAAGATGGAAAAATCTCCAAAAGGCATCAAATTACAGATTAGACATTCTTATAATATATCAACAAAAGTTAGATTTTATTTCCATCATTTACACTTTCAAAATAACAGAAAACAAAAAAATGGCGTCTGCAAAAGTTTGGGCACCCTGCAGAGTTAATATCTTGTACTGCCCCCTTTGGCAAGTATCACAGCTTGTAAACGCTTTTTGTAGCCAGCCAAGAGTCTTTCAATTCTTGTTTGAGGTATCTTTGCCCATTCTTCCTTACAAAAGTCTTCCAGTTCTTTGAGATTTCTGGGCTGTCTGTCACGCACTGCTCTTTTAAGGTCTATCCATAGATTTTCAATTATGTTGAGGTCAGGAGATTGTGAAGGCCATGGCAAAACCTTCAGTTTACGCCTCTTGATGTAATCCCCCGTGGATTTCGAGGTGTGTTTAGGATCATTATCCATTTGTAGAAGCCGTCCTCTCTTTAACTTCAGCTTTTTCACAGATGGCATCAAGTTACCATCCAAAATTTGCAGAAATTTTATTGAATCCATTTTTCCTTCTACTCGTGAGATGTTCCCTGTGCCACTGGCTGCAACACAACCCCAAAGCATGATTGATCCAACCCCATGCTTAAACAGTTGGACAGAGGTTCTTTTCATTAAATTCTGTGCCCCTTCTTCTCCAAACGTACCTTTGCTCATTCTGGCCAAAAAGTTCAATTTTAACCTCATCGGTCCACAGAACTTGTTTCCAAAATGCATCAAGCTTGTCTATATGTTCATTTGCAAAGTTCAAACGATGATTTTTGTGGTGAGGACGTAGAAGAGGTTTTCTTCTGATGACTCTTCCATGAAGACCATATTTGTACAAGTATCTCTTTATAGTGGAATAGTGTACCACAACTCCAGTGTCTGCCAGATCTTTCTGGAGGGATCGTGCAGTCAAACGTGGGTTTTGAATTGTTTTTCTCACAATCCTGCGAGCTGTTCTGTCTGATATTTTTCTTGGTCTTCCAGATCTTGCTTTAACTTCCACTGTTCCTGATGACTGCCATTTCTTAATTACATTCCGAACAGAGGATATTGACATCTAAAAACGCTTTGCTATCTTCTTATAGCCTTCTCCAGCTTTGTGAGCATCAACTATTTTCAGTTTCAGTTTTCTAGACATCTGCTTAGAAGAACCCATGGTGCTGATTGTTGGGGCAAGGTCAGATGAGTCTCGGCATTTAAAACCTTTGAGATTGACATCACCTGGTCTGCCCAGACAATGATTGAGAACAATCCATGACACTAGCAGGTCTCAGCTTGGCAAAGGGGGCAGTGCATGCTATAAATTCTGCAGGGTGCCCAAACTTTTGCAGACGCCATATTTTTGTTTTCTGTTATTTTGAAAGTGTAAATGATGGAAATAAAATCTAACTTTTGTTGACATATTCTAAGAATGTCTAATCTGTAATTTGATGTCTTTTGGAGATTTTTCCATCTTTCCTTGGCTTCTTTATGCACATTAATACAAATTTTTAGCTGGGGTGCCCAAACTTTCGATCCCCACTGTATGTATTCTGTTTTTAAAGGGTAGGGGTGTTTCAGTGGGTAGAGGGTGGGAGGATTTGGATTACGAGCATAGAGTAGGGCTTTAACAAACGTGTACATTGATTCCGGGCATGCTTTGTTGTGTAAAAAAGGGAATTTTAGACTGACTAAAAGCTAAGTAACTTGGCTATATTTTGTGACTGTACATGCTTAATAGAGGTGGACCAGCAAGTTTTAAATGTAACAATCAGGTCGGTAATATTTACTCCACTTACAGAAATCTATAGCTTATACATATAAATGTAAATTTCTTGAAGTTTTCCACTTATTTGACTGGGCAGAAAATTTTGCAACATACAGTCAGGTCCATAAATATTGGGACATCGACACAATTCTAACATTTTTGGCTCTATACACCATATCTATATCTGCTCATATTCAGCCAAATGCTTCAGAACTCAGACTGTAATTGACTGCAAAGGATTTGCAACCAAGTATTAAAAAGTGAAAGTTTGATTTATGATTATTATTCTGTCCCATTACTTTTGGTCCCTTAAGAAGTGGGAGGCACATATGCAAACTGTTGTAATTCCTACCCGTTCACCTGATTTGGATGTAAATACCCTCAAATTAAAGCTGACAGTCTGCAGTTAAAGCACATCTTGTTCGTTTCATTTCAAATCCATTGTGGTGGTGTATAGAGCCAAAAATGTTAGAATTGTGTCGATGTCTTAATATTTATGGACCTGACTGTATATATAACCTGATGGTAAAACTGGAAATAGCTTTTTTCCATATATTAATAATGTACAGTCATGGCCAAAAATATCGGCACCCTGCATTTCTGTAATGCACCACTTCACCCAGAAAATTGTTGCAATTACAAATGTTTAGGTATTCTCATGTTTGTTTCCTTTGTTTGTATTGGTATGACACAAAAAAGTGAAGAAACAAAAAGCCAAATGTGACATTCCACGCAAAACTCCAAAAATGGACTGGACAAAATGGCACCTTCTCAAAATTGTAAGAAATAATTGCATTCCAAGTTTGTGATGCTCCTGTAATTTGCAGTTAAACTCACCTGTATCAATTAACAGGTGCTGACAATATAGAAATCACACCAGCAACCAGTTAAAATTTACTCAACTATTCTGTTGTATGTCTCTGTGTGCCACATGGAGAAGAGAAAGAGCAGCAAATAATTGTCTGAGGATTTGAGAACAAACAATGGGTTGTAGGTATGGAAGAAATCACAAATGCCAAAAGTATGGAAATTAGAAATAATAGCTATTCTGAAGATAGGAGTAAACCAGTATGCAAGAATGATCATGGTATCTCTCTGCAAAATGTCACGTATAAAGTAATAATGATCATTTTGGCAATGAGATTGGAACCTTATGTTGAAAAGATCCTGGGAGACTATCAATGTGGTATTCTGAAAAAAATGTACTGTTACACTTGGTGTGGGAAAAATGTGGTGAATATAATATCAACTTACACCATATGTTTATTGATTACAAGCAGGCATGTGAATACTTAAGGAAATCATTATATAAAACACTAAAGGAGTTTGGAATCCCTAACAAGTTGGTAAGGCTAGTAAAGATCTCACTTACAGACTCAAAAATACAAATAAAAGGACACAAATGTCAGTGAATAGTGGACTAAGGCAAGATGTTTTATTTAAGTCAGCAAAAAGTAATATGAGATAAAAAAAAGCTAAACAAAAACTTGGTGTTCAAAGAAGATGGCAGAATCTACGGTAGAAACTTATGTTAACATATAGATCACAGTAGATGAACTAGAAACATAGAAAAGTGATGGCAGAAAGACTGAGTGTTCGATGAGTCTGCCCATTTTTGTTTTTTTTTTAGGTGTCTGTGGTTTTTTTTTTTGGGTGTTGTGTTTTTTTTGTTGTTTTTTGGAAGGGGGAGGTTGTGTTTTTTTATTTTTATTTTTTGTCTGAGTATATAACTACTGTACTTAAGAGAATATTCCTTTGAATTAGAAGAGGAATCAAATAGATGTGGCTTGATAGATGAATATAGAATAAAATATAATAAAATGAAAATGATGAAAAACCTTAACCACTTGCCCTCCTGAGGATTTACCCCCCTTAATGACCAGGCCTCTTTTTGCTACTCAGTGCTGCACTAGTTCAACTGATAATTGTGCGGTCATGCAATGCTGCACCCAAACGAAATTTACGTCCTTTTTTTTCACACAAACAGAGCTTTCTTTCGGTGGTATTTGATCACCTGTGCGCTTTTTATTTTTCACGCTATAAACAAAAAAAGACCAAACATTTTGAAGAAAAACGATATTTTTTACTTTCAGCTATAAAAAATATATAGTAAACTCAAAGTTGGTTCTAAATTTAGGCCAAAATGTATTCTGCTACGTTTTTGGTAAAAAAAAAATCCCAATAAGTGTATATTGATTGCTTTGTGTGAAAGTTATAGCGTCTACAAACTATGGTATAGATCAGGGGTGGGCAAACTTTTTGACTTGAGGGCCGCAATGGGTTCATATATTGGACCCGGGGGCCGGACCAAGAGTAGATGAATGATGTGTATGTGTCATCCATAGTAAGTATAGTAATATTCCCCCATAGTAAGCATAGTAATTCATCCCCCATATAGTAATTCATCCCCCATAGTAATTCATCCCCCATAGTAATTCATCCCCCATATAGTTCATCCCCCATAGTAATTCATCCCCCATATAGTAATTCATCCCCCATAGTAATTCATCCCCCATAGTAATTCATCCCCCATATAGTAATTCATCCCCCATAGTAATTCATCCCCCATATAGTAATTCATCCCCCATATAGTAATTCATCCCCCATAGTAATTCATCCCCCATAGTAATTCATCCCCCATAGTAATTCATCCCCCATTTAGTAATTCATCCCCCCTATAGTAATTCATCCCCCATATTGTAATTCATCCCCCATATAGTAATTCATCCCCCATAGTAATTCATCCCCCCATATAGTAATTCATCCCCCATATAGTAATTCATCCCCCATATAGTAATTCATCCCCCATATAGTAATTCATCCCCCATAGTAATTCATCCCCCATA